CATGTCAACTCGACACTGAACACGTCATCTCGACACTAACCACGCCAACTCGACACTAACCACGTAATCTCGGTATTAACAGATGATGTATTAAAGCGCAGTAAATGGTTAGAGACCCTCTTACTACTTTCGCGGAGGGAGAGAGAGAGAGAGAGAGAGAAGAGAGAGAGAGAGAGATGAGGTTTAACTAGGGCATTTCTGGACTAACATATGGTTTAATTTTATTTCACTAATTCGCTTGCGCGTAGGGATCTTTAGCAGTGGGAGGAAACCGGAGGATCCGGGTAAAACCCACGAGGTTGGACAGGCGACTCTACTCCTTGTCGAGTACAACATTGGAATCGAAACCACACCAGTTGACTCAATGACAGACCATACAGCGGGCACGTGCTAACCATTCGGCCATTCAAACTCCTGATTTTGTTTTGTAAACAAACTTGGTTTATATGTCAAGGATCCGGGTAACATGCCTTGTTTTATTCTGTACCAGGCACAATAAAAAACAAAATAACTTATCGCTCATGTTGTCGATGTCTTCATATTAATTGAAATACCGGGTCAAACATGTTCGTCTTTTCAATATTTTTATGTGTTTTCTAAGCTTTATTTTTTATCGAGAAGAAAAAGTTAATGAAATAGCTCGGGGTGATAGAATGTACACGCACGTCACGCGTGAAAACAAATTAATGTAAATTTTACTTTATATCAGTTCGTCCTATCAACTCTGAAAAGGTTTACCCCTAAAAGCATAGTTATGTAAACCCAGAGCTAGAAAGTATGTCCTTTTGCACGCATGACAGGCTAGATATATAAGCAATACACTTTTGTCTGTTTAGAAATCATGGAGAGAGAGAAGGTGAGATGGAGAGAAAGAGAGAGAGAGGCGGGGGGTAACGTTCACTCAACACAAACTAGGTCATTTCGGGATGAACATAGGGTTCGATTGTATTTCAATTTCGCGTTGGGGTCTTTATCAGTCGGTGTAAACAGGAGGACCCTGAGTAAACCCACGAGGCTGGACAGGCGTTCCGTTTAAAAATCCGCCATTCCATTGCTTATACATTTTATTAGTTATACATTTCGTTCTTTTGGTTTTACCTTGGGCGATATCGCAGACAAAATTATCCATTTGAACATTGGATTTTTTTTTATAAATCCGCCATTTTATTTCTTATTAATCCAGCCAATTAACGCCATGGGAAGAATGTACTTTTTAACCGTCGGGGATGCAACCCAAAGATTGGGAATGTGTTACCGAAATGCCATCGAATGGTCGCCGAACATTTGCCAAGGATTCAAGGCTAACAGTTCTCCCGAGATCTCCCCCGATGGTTCTGCATGGATCGCGACGCCCCCGAAGCTTCCCCGTGACCAGCAGGACGGAGACCTGACAATGACAGCTGTCTAGCCGTTCGGATGGGACGAAAAATCTAGGTCTCATGTACACATTGGCGTGCACGTAAAATATCCCTTGACAGTTGGATTTCGATATAACAGTAGTATACCCGTCTTCAGTAGCTCATTTCGGAGAACAGTAGGACATTAAACCCCATTTCATTTCATTTCACCCCGTGACCAGGGACCTGATTATATAGTGAAGAAAAGCGGGAAAATAGACTACGTTTTAAAATTATTTGTCCAACGCACGAATGTGTCGTTTGTACAGATAAAAAAAAAGGGTTGCTTTAGGAGGTGTGTCATGCGAGCGTTAGAGGCACAAATCTTGCCCCAAATAGAAAAGACGGTCAGGGCTTTAATTTACCGTGTTCTCTCCTGTGTGTATGCTAGGGTTCGGTAAATAAAAAAAATATAGTCTAAAAGAAGTTGTTTGCGAGGGTCTCATTCATATTCTATAGCCTGTTCACTGTGACCTGACCTACATGCAGCTTTAATTAAACGCATATTAAGATGGGTACGGTTGAATGCTTACCAATAATATTTGTTAGTCATTGTTTGAGGCAAAACATTTGCTTCATTTCTTTCTTTCATTACGATGCTTTAAGAGATTAGCGCTCCTTTAAGAGCTGATGTTATTGATAAATATTTTGTAAAGATGTCTTGCGCGGATGTTTTTTGTAATGAAATTTGTGAAAAGAAGAGCAAGTTAAGGGTGTCGTCTACACAATCCGTGGATAAGTTTGTCTGAAATGTCTGATCCTATCTGTCGTTTTCCTGTCGCTATTTTGTTTTTATTGTTGACAGACAGCTTAAACATACAGAGGACGAGAAACACCTTTTGTTAGTACACTATTGTTTATATATTTATATAACACCTGAAAGTCCTCGAGAAAGATCAGACAGGCAGCTTATAATTTGATGTATACCACAGAGAGAGGGAGAGAGAGGGAGAGAGAGAGGTTAACGTCCACTCGACACAAACTAGGTCATTTAAAGACTAACACATGGTTCAATTTTATTTCTATAATTTTCTTTTGGGCATAGTGGTCTTTAGCGGTGGGAGGAAACCGGAGGACCCGGAGAAAATCCACGAGGCCAAGCGATCTTTTACGTGCACGCCAATGTGTACACGGGACTTCGGTTTTTCGTTCCATCGGAACGGCTAGACAGCTGTCCTGCATCACTGACAAGGGGAAACCATGCCGGAAAATCTGGGTGAACTTTCTCGGCCAATGCAGGGATCGAACACCCGACCTCCAGGCTAGCGAGCCCGCGTCTTACCCACTTGGCCACCGTGATCCCCAGATCTTAAATACCTATTCTCCATTAATAATTAAATAACTAAAAATAAGACTTTCTTTGTACATTAAACGTAATTTTATATATAACTATGTTCTATTCTTTATATTCCTATTCTATTTACTTAAAGATACATTATGTAAGATTTAGATAAAGAGCTAGCCATTCTTGCTATAATAGTTCGAAAATAGATCATGTAAAATGAATAATTTGAAAATTTCATTTCAATTACTCTATTGCGACCGAAGATATTAGTCTTTGAAGGTTTGACAAGACGTGTGCAATAATTTCAGCCACCGTACTGGTTGTTCGAAGCTAAGTCTCGCTCCTCCATATTTTGCTTAAATCAAAATATCGCTGAACTGTTCTAATCTATTTAATATCGGAGAATATCGATGCCATCGAGAGTTGATTATGGACTGGATAAGTTAATTAATGTCTAATTGATAAGTTAGATAACATTTCAGGCCTAAAGAAAGACTTGCAGATTTAGCTCTTGCATAATGTACATGTATGTTTAAGGCAGGTGATTTACTTTGTCCTGTAATAATGTTCGCAGGTGTGTCTGATAGGTGTTATTTTCGCGTAGTGCGGTCCCCATGCACTTACTATTGAGAAATTGTTTTCGTGTAGTGCGGTACCTCGTGTTATTTATTTGTCAAGCTCGCATAGCTCTTTTGTTGCAATTTCATAATAGGACTTGTGCACGTTTCTTTTCAATACCCCGGTTTACCTCTGAACCTACTTCTCTGCATCTTTCATATTTTTCAAGGACATACAAATGTGTCATCTAGTAGAGATCGTATCATGCGCTCATAGGCGTAGGAGCTCAAAGTAATTCAGGGGGGCATAAGAGAAAATTGCCCGAAATCAATACCGTTTTTTCGGGCATACCTATCATAAGAGAGCTTCGGGCATATTTTCGGGCATGCAGTGGACAAGAAAAAGACGAGAAAATACTTTTCGGGCAGTGTGGATCTCATAGAAATAAGTTAGTTATATTTTTTCTCGAAACGTTAATTGAAAAAAAAGGTCGTCGAATTTTTCATTGCCCGAAAATAAATTTTTGGGGGGGCAAATGCCCCCCCCCCCCTGCCCCCCGGCTCCTACGCCTATGCATGCGGTCATAATCTCACATATCCAGCTCGCTATTTGATATTACCTGGCGAATTGTTGCAGTAAATGTAATTCAGTAAACTAATAAAAACTATTAAATACTCTATTTATAAACTGTATTTAATACAGGCGTCCAATTACCTATTAAAGATATTGTAATAGAATATGTCAAGTCATGATTGATAGACTTATTTTTTTCAGGGGGGGGGGGGTGGCTGGCCGAATGGTTAACGCTTTGAGTCAAGTGGCGTGGTTTCGTTTGCCCGCTTGTACGTGACAAGGGGGGGGTGTAGGGTACCACTTCGTGATTTTTTTTAACGGACCTTCCGGTTTCCTCCCACTGCTAAAACAGCCCCTACACGCAAGCCAACTATTGAAATGAAATTGTGAAATTGAACCATATGTTAATCTCGAAATGACCTACTTTGTGTGTTCGCCCCCCCCCCCCCTCTCTCTCTATCTCTCTATCTCTCTCTTGTAACATAATATAATATCAAATAATGTCAATATTAATTGAACGTTGTTTGGTACACGGAAATAGGGGAAAAAACGAAAAAGAAAAAGAAAATTCGATACTCCTTAATTATGATCTTGGCTAAAGATATATATATATATATATATATATATATATAGAGAGAGAGAGAGAGAGAGAGAGAGAGAGAGAGAGTTGGCCTTAACTTTAACTCGACATAAACTAGGTAATTTCGGGAGTAACACATGGTTTAATTTTATTGCAATAACTCGCTTGCGCGTAGGGGTCTTTAGCAGTGGGAGGAAACTGGAGGACCCGGAGAAAACCCACGAGGTTGGACAGGAGACCCTACTCCTTGTCACGTACAACCATGGAATCGAAACCACGCCAGTTGACTCAATAACAGACCTTACGTATGATACAGCTCGCGCGTGCTAACGATTCGGCCATCCAGGGGCCTGTGTCATGAAATTTTAAGATAAAATCCAAATTTTAATAATTTGATTGGATAATATTAGATTGATTTTAGTGCTTAGCCAATCAAAATTGAAGTATCTACTAAAATTTGGATGTTATCTTTAGTTAAAATTTTGAGAAACAGGGCCCTGCCCCCACATAGCAACAAACAATACTTAACAGCCTAGAACTGCCGCGTTGGTGCACTTGTTTGATTGTTTTAATATTAGTCAATGTTGGATTTTATTTTTTTTTATAGGTTGATCTATCCGGTATGGGTATGCCTTGGATTTATTATACCAGCTCAGAAACCGAACAGGTAAGACATGTTTGATGTTTATTATTTTAAATATTTCAATGTCAGGGGGGGGGGGGCATGTGATGTTACTATTCAGTCCACCAAAACATGATTTGACAGTTAAAACGTGAACTATGTTAACTATGAAGTTATCAAACATACACATACACAATATTAAACATACATTATGCAAGAGCTAAATCGGACTATTGCGGGTCTTTCTTTTGCCCCAAAATGTTATCTAATAATCAACTCTCGATGTCATCGCTAGCCTACGATATTTACTAGATTAGAACCTGATCTGCTGTTCAACGCTCATTCATGATTAAATCAAACAATGGATAATCGAGACTATGTTTTTTTCGAGGCTGGGCCCAAAATCCAATCGCTAAATTCTCGGTTCAGGGTGGATCAATTTGATTGAAATTTTCAGCAAATTCCCTTTACATTATCTAGTTTTTAACTATTACAGTGACCACTGCCAGCTCTTTATCTAATCTTCCATAATGTATCTTTAATGATATAGGTACAATACTGTTTGAATTATTCCACTTTCAATAGTACACTCGTTTTGTCTGGACCACCCGAAATTGCAAACTTAAAAAACTTATTTCAAACATATGGTCTTTCCAATGAATCAATCCTCATATAACTGGGGAATCCCCGGTTGTACGTGACAAGGAGAAGGGTTGCCTGTCCAACCTCGTGGGTTTTCTCCGGGTCCTCCGGTTTCCTCCCACTGCTAAAGACCCCTACGCGCAAGCGAATTATTGAAATAAAATTGAACCATGTGTTAGTCCCGAAATGACCTAATTTGTGTCTAGTGGTCGTTAAACCATCTCTCTCTCTCTCTCTTTCTCTTTCTCTCTCTCTCTCTCTCTCTCTCTCTCTCTCATATAACTGGAACTTCGAATCCGAAGGAGATTATATCTTTTGTTTTAAAGGAACCACGTGACGTATTCATTGATTATATTCTATATTATAGGTACGAGATGATTACCGGAAGTTTATCCGTGCGGTTGGCAACCTGTTAGTCAAAGATGCAAAACACAATTTAACTGATTCACAAATATCAGAACGTATAAATACATTTGTCGAAGATACGTATATGCTGGAGCACAAGTTGGCTAATGTAAGTTGAATATATTTTATACCATACAAATCACCATGTGTCGGTAAGCTTGACTATCTACAAGCAAAAATTAAATGTGACGGTATATTGTCATTTGTTATTGACGTTAGGAAGAAAACTGTTAAATTTTAAATATTTCCGATAATAATTCTTTGGCTCTCTCAGTACCTATTAAATAGTTCAAATTGTTTATTGGCAGCCACGGTGGCTAAGTGGGTAAGACGCTGGCTCACTAGCCTGGAGGTTGGGTGTTCGATCCCTGCATTGGCCGAGAAAGTTCATCCTGATTTTCCGGCGTGGTTCTCCCTTGTCAGTGATGCAGGCCGGAGGGGCTGACAAGGAAAGCTGTCCAGTCCTTCGGATGGGACGAAAAACCGAGGCCCCGTGTATACATTAGAATGATCCGTAAATGATCCCTTGGCAGTTGGAATTCGATATAAGAGTAGGCGATAGTGCCGTTGCCCGGGCAAAATTTCCCTCATAGCACACTGTATGGCGTATGCCCGTCTTCATTAGCCCGGTATAGGAGCAGAACAGTAGGACGTTAAACCCCATTTCATTTCATTTCATTTCCAATTGTTTATTGTCTGTCAGTTTTTGTTCTTGCCAAATATAATGTGACTTAAACGTACATTAAGTCAGAACTAAAACTGTCTATTGCAGGCCTTTCTTTAAAGACTGAAATTTATTAACATGGCAAGACGATAATCAACCCTTGATGTCATCGAATTGCTTCAATTTTCATTGGATTGGAATCCGACTTGCTGTTCAACGTCCGTTGATGATTAACCGCAAAAATGGATAATCGAGACTTTGTTAATTATCGCCACAGCGGTAACAGTGACAATCGAGGCTAAAGTGATTTTGAAATAAGCATATTCCCTTTACATTAACTAGTTTTCAACTATTATAGTGAGAACTGTCAGCTGGTTATCTAATCTCTCATAATGTATCTTTAAGTAGACAATTCTAGACATGAAGAATCGCTAACGGGGATTTATTATCGCGTTAACGAGGTGCAAAGACGCAGCTAAGATGCCTCGATAAATGGATCAAAGCTCGTTCCTTCTTAACTTCGAGCTGTTACTGCGTAGCTAGGCGAAGGTTAGAAGGGGCGGGATTAGGTCCAATTGTGGCGGCATCTTGGCTTCGTCTTCGCACCGTGTTGACGCGAGGGCAAGATGGAGCGGTAGGTTACTTACCAGCCGCCATAACATACTGCAGCAAGTATTAAAATACAAAAATGTCAAAGGCATTCCTCGATAAAGTCCGGTAATTTCCCAATATTTGAATATTTATAAAATGTTTTTTTTTAGTTGACATTTAACTCCAAGGCAACACTCAATCCACATGCCGAAGAAGAGAGAATAAGTTTAGAAGACTTGAACACCCAGGTTGAGTCAACAGTAAGTCGTCGTTTTTGTTTCAATCAGATAATTCAAACAAACTGCTGAATAAAAATAGAAAAGAGGAACGTGAATAGATCTCAGACAATCCAAAATGGCAAATAGAACAAAGGTCGAAAAGCGAATAGAGATCCAGCAGCAGCTTTGTCTTGAAAAAAAAGACAGTCATAGACAGCGGCGTAATCGGGCAGAAAACGCAGTTGTTCGCCAAATTTGATAATCGTCTTCTTCGAAAAATCTAATCTCCGTCGTGTTCACATGTTTAAACTGTATTGCCCCAATCGCCTTCATAGTCTTTTCGGAATAGGAGGGTGGGGAAACTCTGGCCCGCAAGATTATTAAGCCATGTATATCTATATGACGTGTCCTCGCGTGACCTCATTGCTTCTCAATTATTTAAAGATATAAACAAATTATTTAAAGATATAAACAAATTATTTAAATTATTTAAAGATATAAACAAATTATTTAAAGATATAAACAAATTATAAACAAATTATTTAAAGATATAAACAAATTATTTAAAGATAGAAACGAAGTATTTAAAGATTAACAAATTATTTAAATATATAAACAAATTATTTAAATATATATACACATTATTTAAAGTTATATACAAATTATTTAAAGATAAAAAAAAATATAAACAAATTATTCAAAGATATAAATAAGATAAAAACAAATTTTTTAAAAGATATAAATAAACAAATTATTCTCGCCATTTCACCATTTCAGATCGATTTTGTGAGTTTATTCAAATACATGTTTGATCAAGCTGGTGTTACTAAAGATACCAAGGTTGTTGTTTTAGAGAAGGAGTATATAATAAGTCTGGGTGAGATTTTAAACAGTTTAGGTGACAATAAAAACAGGTAATTAATTTCGTTTAAGGATTTACTTTGTACCTGGTTCTGGGATCACTTATTATTGTCCGGATTTTGTTTTCTAATTGTTTGTCATATATTGATTGTATATATTTAGTCATTTTAAAGCCGCGTATCGACCTTTGCATTTTCCGGGCATTATCGAGTTTTTCACGGCTTGATCCAAAATGTGATAATTTAACATTTGATTCAGAGAAGATTTCACCCGCCTCTTACCTATAGGCGGGGCTCTTTTAGTTATATAGCCTGCAAAGGTTGTGAATTACTGCGAAATTTTCAATCCACCCAATCTGATTAAAGGACAATATCGTAGCAATGATCTCTGTGTTAAAATTATATTTGGAATGTGTTTAACCAGGTCTATCACATATGTGATAATGACTGACACCAATATGTCCTTTAAAACACAGATCTTTTATCGTTTCGTTTTTATAGTTCAAAATTTCGTCTTACTTGTCTTTACTACACTAGGATCTAGAAGAGTTGTTATCATTGACGTGTTCTGAATGGTGTGAGGGCTTAGCCAATGAAACGGTCTGTTACTGCGAGCTTTAGGCGTGTTTTGCACAGAACTGTGGGTAATCCAATAGTAAAATCAATGCTGATTGGTTAATCAAATGTCTGACGTCATAGGGTCAAAAGCCGCTCGTATGACATCTGACGTGATCTATTGCTACAACCGGTCAAATCTTTATGTAGTGTAGGTCATCAAAGTACACATTGGCGTGTACGTAAAAGATCCCTTGGCAGTTGGAATTCAATATAAGAGTAAGCCGTAGTACACTACATGGCGTATACCCGTCTTCATTCGCCCAGTCGGAGGTGAACAGTAGGACGTTAAACCCCATTCCATTTCATTTTTTCACTTTTTTCCAGAATCATCAATAACTATTACACTTGGCGATTGGCTCACAGATATTTACAAGAAATGTCGTGGGATTATGTCCATGCCAACAGACAATTCTACGTAGATATTACCGGGAATGCAGAGTTTTTAGGATCGTGGAGATATTGTCTGAATCTTGTCAGCCGAGATATGGGCGAAGTTTTGAGCTCCTTATTCGTCAGAGATCATTTTGTAGATAAGAATAAGCACAAGGTAAGTTGTCGTCTTTTTGCAGTCACCCACAAATAGGCATCTAATATTCTTTTTTAACCCATCTCTGTTAAAGAGAGAGAGAGAGACAGACACAGAGAGAGGGAGGGAGAGAGAGAGAGAGAGAGATGGGTTTAACGTCCACCTGAGACAAACTAGGTCATTTCGGGACTAACATTTCAATAATTCAAGTGGCGTGATTTCGATTTCCCGCTTGTACGTGACAAGGGGTAGGAGTCGCCTGTGCAACTTCTTGATTTTTTTTTAACGGACCTTCCGGTTTCCTGCCACTACACGCACGCGAATTATTGAAATGAAATTGAACCATATGTTAATCTCGAATTTACGTCTCCGTCTCTCTCTCTCTCTCTCTCTCTCTCTCTCTCTCTCTCCATCTACAAATTAATTTCTAGAACATTATTATGAAGTCTAGTCGTTTAGATGGTACAAAAAAACCGAGGTCCCGTGTACACATTGGCATGCACGTAACAAATCCCATGGCAGTTAGAATTCGACATAAGAGTAGACCATAATTCTGCTGCCCGGGCTAAATGTCTGTCATAGCACACTGTATGGAGTATGTCCATCTTCATTGTCCTAGTCGGAGCAGAACAGTAGGAAGTTAAACCCCATTTCATTTTATTTCAGGCCATGGAGATCGTCGATTACCTGAAAACATCTTTAGTTGAACGAGTGATGAACATAACTTGGATGGAAGAATCCACAAAACAAGACGCCAAACGAAAGGTATGAAAAATGATAACCCTTCTTCAAACAATTAAATAGATAATAAATAATAATAATTCATTTATAGGGCGACTATAATCCAACATTTTATTGCTCCATGGCTCTATTACATTATCGTAAAAATGCAAAATAAAAATAAAAAAAATATCATGAATCAAAATTTAAAAACAAGTAGGCTCGTACTATAGATCAGGGGCCTGTTTCATGAAATTTTAACTAAGATAAAATCCAAATTTTAGTAATTTGATTGGATAATATTAGATTGGTTTTAGTGCTTAGCCAATCAAAATTGAGGTATCTAATAAAAACAATTTGGATTTTATATTTAGTTAATATTTCGAGAAAGAGGGCCCAGGAACTGAACATGTTGTTGGATGAAATTCAAAAATCTAATTCATCAAATCAACTCAGAATTGTGCAAAGAAGAAGAATGACAATGTCTTCGTGTCGATGGGACTTGGACTGACGGAGCCCTAGGCCTTTTTGAAGAGTGTCACCCCAAGAACAAAAAGATGAGTAGCGGGAGGGGGTGGGGTAGATGGCCGAATGGTTAGCACGTGCGTGCTGTATCATAAGGCCTGTCATTGAGTTAACTGGCGTGATTTCGAATCCCCGGTTGTACGTGACAAGGAGTAGGGTCGCCTGTCCAACCTCGTGGGTTTTCTCCGGGTCCTCCGGTTTCCTCCCACTGAAATAAAAATTAAACCATATGTTAGTCCCGAAATGACCTAGTTTGCGTCGAGTGGATGTTAAACCCCATTTCTCTTATCTCTTATGAGTAGCGGTTAGCGACCAGTTCGGGGATCGCGTGGCTAAGTGGGTAAGACGCTAGCTCGCTAGCCTGGAGGTCGGGTGTTCGATCCCTGCATTGGCCGAGAAAGTGCATCCAGATTTTCCGGCGTGGTTCCTCCTTGTCAGTGATGCAGGACGCAGGGCCTGACAAGGACAGCTGTCTAGTCCTTCGGATGAGACGAAAAACCGAGGTCCCGTGTATACATTGGAATGTACGTAAAAGATCCCTTGGCAGTTGGAATTCGACATAAGAGTAGGCGATAGTGCCACTGCCCGGGCAAAATTTCCCTCATAGCACACTGTATGGCGTATGCCAGTCTTCATTAACCCAGTTTAGGAGCAGAACAGTAGGACGTTAAACCCCATTTCATTTCATTTAGCGACCAGTTCCTAGTCCAACCTGGTCCAAAAATAAAACCATAACAAGTATTGGGTATAAAAACATTAAAAACATATCAAGAATAAAATTGACAAAATTTGATATGTGCTTACAGGATTTTGACACATTTATTACACTCAGCTTTGGTTAAGTAGACGGATTATACTGTACGTGTTAACGTGTGATATGGTACTTGTGGTTGTTGTCATTGTTTGATGTATCTTATTATTAAAAGTTTAACTGTATACGTACCTTCCACTTTTATCTCCCAGACTAAGTAAATATTATTATATCAGTTTATTATTGTATAAGCACGTACTTTATCTATATTTTATTTACAGTTACAAACTTCTTTATATAAACTGGGGTACCCGGATAATATTATGGACACTAATAAATTAGACATGATTTACGATCCGGTAAGTTATAAAAGATATTGAAAATCAACCTTTAACCATGGTATTGAAATCTGAGATTTGTTATGTTAAATTTTAATGATAAACAACAAATTTCAAAGCAACTTGATATCCCATCTCAGGTAAAGCTATAAATAGGACATGCAGAAAGTTTTTTCACCTGATATCAATGTTGGGGATAAAAGATTATATGCACGAATACGTGCTGAAAATCACCTTGAGGGTTGAATATCCTGTATGAATATCTAATTAAAAAGGCAGTAGTAGCAAAGTCGTATAGCTTTGATAGCAAGTGACGGAAAGTGATTTTGCCAGTCGCGAAGTATTTCAAATTCATTTGCATTTATTTTAGACACGTTTCTCAACTTGTGATTGAGGAGGTTTGGATGGCCGAATTGATAGCGCGTGCGCGCTATATCATAAGGCATGTCATTATGTCAACTCGTGTGGTTTCGATTTACCCGCTTGTACGTTGCAAGGAGTAGAATCGCCTGTCCAGCCTTGTGGGTTTTCTCCGGGTCCTCCGGTTCCCTCCCATGGCTAAAGACCCCTACGCGGAAGCGAATTAACCCACTAGAAACAACAATCTGACGTCATAGGGTCAAAAGCCGCTTGCACGAACTCTGACGTGACCCTCCACTCCAACCGGTCAGATATGTTCATGTAGTGTAGGTCATCGAAAGTATAAAAATAAAACGAAACGAAATATAGATTTGTATCTTAATCAGAATGTCGGACAACATGTCATCATCTGGTTAGTGCTCTAGCCCCTAGAAATAGAAACTATAACGAAACGAAAATGTGTGTTTTATTCAATTTCTACCTAAAGGCAATATCATTTCACCATTTTTTCTTCCAGCTTACTATCGTCTCAGGCGATTATTTTACCAATATCCTCAACTTCAACACATTCTTTAAACACGACTGGAATATGCGATTAAGTCATGATACCGATAAAAGTCGGTGGAACTATAAAACTTATGATATTGCTGCGGAGTATTACAATCCCTGGAGTGAATTAATAGTACCTGCAGGATTGTTACAGTTTCCTATATACGACCATACTTTACCTCATTATGTTAATTTTGGTTCCATAGGCCCATTAATCTCACATCAGCTGGTACACGCTATAGACGAATTGGGTAAGTTTATTATTACAATATCAAATAGCCTGGATAACATAGTCTTTTACACGCATCTGTAGGCCACATTATCCAGCTATGGCTGTAAAAGGGAAATGAAATGAATTGGGGTTTAACGTTCTACTGCCCTGCTCCGACTGGGCTAATGGAGACGAGCATACGCCATGCAGTTTCCTATGAGGGAAATTTTGCTCGGACAGCGGCCTACTCTTATATCGAATTCCAACTGCTAATCGGTCTTTTACGTGCACGCCAATGTGTACACAGGACCTCGGTTTTTCGTCCCATCCGAACCATTAGACAGCTTTCCGTGTCAAGGGCAAACCATTCCGGAAAATCCCGATGTACTTTCTCGGCCAACACCGGGCGCGAACCATCGACCTCCAGGCTAGCGAGCCAGTGCCTTACTCACTTAGCCACTGTGGCTCCCGTTGTAAAAAAGGGCACGTATATCTGTTTCTGTCTGCGATACCACCACCAGCTATAGCTGCCACGTTCTTGTAACGATACTGACGTTTGACTTGATCGCCAGCTAAAAATGGATCAGCATGCTACTAAGGTTTTTCAGTAACAATCACGCTTGTAATTCACTTATAATTCTGGGGCCTGTTTCACGAAATTTTAACTAAGAAAAAATCCAAATTTTAGTAATTTGATTGGATAATATTAGATTGATTTTAGTGCTTAACCAATCAAAATTGAAGTATCTACTAGAATTTGGATTTTATCTTTAGTTAAAATTTCAAGAAACAGGACCCTGATGCCTAGCAGAAAATAATGGATCATCTAAAGCCGTACATAATTTTAAAACTGTTCTTAAGACACACCTTTCTTTAGAACAGATTCCCTGGCTGTACGTGACAAGGGGTATGATCACCAGTCCAACCTCGTTGGTTTTCTCCGGGTCCTCCAGTTTCCTCCCCCTGCTAAAGACCCCTACGCGCAAGAGAATTATTGAAATATATTTGAACCAGATGTTAGTTCCGAAATGACCTAATTTTTGTCGAGTGGACGTTAAACCTCATTTCTATTATGAAGTCCATTCAAGGAGCTCACTCGCTATTCTTTGGCACCTAGAAATGGACCCAAGTGGGTTGCAACGCATGTAAGAATGTAATACGAATAAACTGATTTACATTCAATCGTTTCTGTTTTTACTCTAGTTTCAAATCAGTTATATTCGTTGAAATACGCGAACGGTCCATATTAAATGGCAATGTTTGGCCTTGTTCATCGAATAGCATTATTACAAATGGTACTCGAAAGCATCCAGGCACGCGATTCGTGTGTCAATTTTAAAATTTTCATTGTGTCTTATATATTGGATATCAGAAGCCCATCTTTTGCCGGTAAGACCACAACATCAATGTTGATTTAAATTGACAAATAAGTCGAGTTTGCAATGTCGACGGCTGTGGATAATATTAATATTATTCTGAATTAACTTAACATTTGTAATTGTTGTAGGCCAGCAATATAACCTAAATGGAACATGGTTTGGAGCTTGGTGGACGAATGAAACCACACGACGTTATACTACCGTTAAACAATGTGTTATTGATTCTTATAGTACAGCCACTCAGGGGCCTTTTAGACTTTTTGGTGATATCTCATTTACGGTAAGTGCACGTGAACTTATAACGTCTGTCATCAAGTCAAGTGGCGTGGTTTCGATTCCGGGTTTGAATGTGACCTCGAGGGTTTCTCCGGGGCCCCTGTTCCCCCCCGCCCCCCAACACTGCTAAAGACCCCGAGTAAAACGTTTTCTCGCTAACCTTGCGGTTCCATGTTCGATTCCTGCTTTGATTGGGAATGTTTATCGAGATTTTTAATTACGAAACGGGGTTATCTAAAACAAAATTAAAAAACAAATTGTCGAGTATGGCGCAGGACAACAGCTACCCATTAAACATCACATCCGCAGTGGTATCGTTCCGTTCCGTTCTACTCCTTGGTCAATTCACGGGGGAGACACATAGTCAAATTATCCGCCCTTGATAGGTGGGCTATTTTTTACCGACCAATCAAAAATTCTATAAATATAGAAAGCGAATGGACGAAGGGAAGTAACTCGCTTTTTATTGGAACTAAGCTCGCCGACATTGTTTTGTTTGCCTGTCACTTCTTTGATCCTAAATTTCTTGTAAATATTCGTACAATTGAACGAACAATCTGTTGTATTGTGGCGAACAATAACTGGTATGTAATATGTTTTTGATTGGTTCGTAGAATCATTCTATGTGACCAATAAAATCATTAAATAAAGGTTTAAAACTAACAATTTAGGAACAATATAGGTATTATTCAACTGTTTCATTGCACACAATATAATAAGCTATAAACCTATAAGAACGGGTAATGGGGAGCCACGGGGGGTAAGACGCTGGCTCGCTAGCCTGGAGGTCGGGTGTTCTATCCCTGCATTGGCCGAGAAAGTTCGACGTGGAACTGACAAGGACAGCTGTCTAGTCGTTCGGATTGGAAGAAAATCCGATGTCCCGTTAATTCATTGACGTACACGTAAAGATCCCTTGGCAGTTGGAATTCGATCTAAGAGTAGGCCATAGTGCCGCTACCCGGGCAAAATTTCCCTCATAGCTCACTGTATGACGTATGCTCACCTTCATAAGCCCAGTCGGAGCATATAAGTGAGACATATAACCCCATCTTCTTGTATAGCGCTGTGACATCCAGCATGTAATACTGCTCTGTTGCAGTTCACAGAGTTGATGTGACCGATCTTAAACGGTAGTCGTCTTCTGCTTAGCGTTTCTTAAAGACGACAATTATTCATATTGACATGTAATATCATTTCAGGTTCCACTGGATTCCGCCAGATTGTCTCCAGAATTCATAGCTGAAAGTAGCGGAATAAAAGTAGCCTATCATGTAAGCATAACTGACTTGTTTTTGTAATCGTGCTATAATGGGTCAATATCAAATGCCCTTGCGATGTTCCATAGAAAAAACCGAAGTCTGTATCTTTACTTGTTTTTGTTTTATTCTATCAGTCAGTTATATAGAGAGATGACTCGTGTTTTCCTTTGGTGTTCGTCACTTCCGATTCAGGAAACCTGTATTACTCCGCTATCGTAGCAATGATCTCTGTGTTAAAATTATACTTGGAACGTGTTTAATTAGTTCTATCACATATGTGATAATGACTGACACCAATATTTTCCTTTAAAACCACCGTAGCGACCTGCTATTCACCCCGCGTTCACGGCGGTCTTGTCCCGGCTACCGACGGTTGGTTCCGGGTTATTGACCGGGGTCAAATACCTAGACAGTGTGAACTTGGCTTTAGTTAGACGGAGATTCTACAATCTGTTCTATTTATCTTTCAATATGCTCTACTGATCTGGTTAGTTCAATGAGAAATTTTCGAACTAGAATCGCGGGGCCCCTACCGCTACTAAAAGATTATTTTAAATCCTTTTGAATGGCACGCATATTCTTTTGAAGGGCACGCATCGTCGGTGAAGCGTCAAAAGGGTGTATCTAAGAATTTCTAAAGATTAAGAAATAGAACCTTTTGCATTTCAAAATTTCCACAAATCAAGATACAACATTTGGACACATGATACCCAGAACAGTTCTAATTGGCGTAGAAATACACAGCTTACACAGAAATGTGTATATTAACTGAGAGATTTTAAAAATGTAAAAAAGTGTATTTGACTAATTTCCCCGAGATACACCCTTTTGACACTTCACCGACGGCATGTTCTTTTGAATGGCACGTATGCGTAACACACAATTAAACTGTCTGCAATACAAGAATCAATTACATAATACCTGATGAAATAGGGATCTATTCAGTTCCGAATGGCCTTATAGGCGCGGACATGACACATAATGGCGCGCAAGGTCATCGCGCCGATAGATCGATGCGTTAAACGATCATCTGAAATTTAATAGGGTTTTTTTCTCTTTTCGTCATGAAGCGCGAGGCCCTGAACCTGTGCCCATTTGGACCATGTCCAAGCTGGGCTGTGGATAGCTGTCGTGGCGACGCCGTAGCAAACCGTATCAAACCGTGGTGCCACCGAGGTCAAATCGTGGACTACCGTTTTCTCCAGCAAAATCGGAGAACCTGGTTAAACTGTAGTCAATATCGGGAGAGTGTGACGTAGCTGGCGCTGATAAATACAACAATTTAATTTTATGGACGCTTTGTTATTGTGTTTAGGCATTTAATTAAATGGACGCTTTGTTATTATGTCTAGGCATATAAAGAATGGACGGCTAAAAACCACGAAGAGAAGAGAATACCTGGTGTAACTAAAAACAATGACCAGATGTTCTTTTTATCATACGCACAGGTAATAAATTTTTTATATCATACGTACAGGTAGTACAACTTTTGTATCATAGGTACAGATAATAAAACTTATATCATAGACAGGGCTAGAACCTTCATATCACCCTAGAAAGAAAGACCTGCAATTGGCAGATTTAGCTCCTGCATAATGTATCAAAACTGACACAGTTATATGGGACAACAATCACTGGTTTATTATACACAAGCACAACGTTTCGATAAGTATTCTCTTATCGTTATCAAGCACAATGTAACTGTGTCAGTTTTGTTATGTTTCCAATTGCTAAATGCCACTAAAGGATTATATGCATAATGTATGTTTAAACGTTTAGTTTATAGTTTCAAGCAACAAGAATGGGGGAAGAACTAGAGCAAAAATCACATACATAACGCAATTTCACAATAACAGGGTTATCAGTGTAATTTTAGATCTTATAACGGTAAATCTCTTTGATCTTTGGGGTATATTCTTTGCCCGGAATAACTTGCGATCTGAAAAGCTTTGAATATATACAGGGAAATTTGGGGTTATTCTTCTGAGAGTTTTTCTTTAAACCTGTAACATGTTATTCTTCCAGGGTAGTTTTTTTTCATAAGAAAACATGATCTAAGGTTTTTCTTACTGGGATACCTGGATATTCTCATATGTAAACATAGACGGTTTATAAACAAGTAAAGTCATCGATTTCGGTTTTGCTGTTGAAGAAAGACTTAAGAAAAAACCCTCGACCTCGCGTTTTCTTTTTCTCGGTTTTTTTTTCTTCAGTCTTTCTTTCCGCAGCATAACCTTTGTCTCGTGCTTCACTTTACACCTAAATCCTCCTGATAGATCAATTACTTTGGGTTCTCTCTGATATATTTTGTCAATATGTTGTTTGATTTCCAGGCCAACTGTTTCAATAGAAATGATGCTGCTGCATATGGCGAAGCTGCGAAAGGCAACGCGCTGGAGGATACGAAGTGAGTACATTTTCTTTGACATACTAATAATTAATTTTCAATTCTGTTAACAAAATGAATTTACAAAATTGAAAATGAATTTACAAAATTGAAAATGAATTTACAAAATTGAAAATGAATTTACAAAATTGAAAATGAATTTACAAAATTGAAAATGAATTTACAAAATTGAAAATGAATTTACAAAATTGAAAATGAATTTACAAACTTGAAACTGAATTTACAAAATTGAAAATGAATTTACTGAATTGAAAATTAATTTACATACTTGAAAATGAATTTACAAAATTGAAAATGAATTTACAAAATTGAAAATGAATTTACAAAATTGAAAATGAATTTACAAAATTGAAAATGAATTTACAAAATTGAAAATTAATTTACAAACTTGAAAATGAATTTTGTAAATTAATTTTCAATTTTGTAAATTAATTTTCAATTTTGTAAATTCATTTTCAATTTTGTAAATTCATTTTCAAGTTTGTAAATTCATTTTCAAGTTTGTAAATTCATTTTCAATTTTGTAAATTAATTTTCAATTTTGTAAATTAATTTTCAATTTTGTAAATTCATTTTCAATTTTGTAAATTCATTTTCAAGTTTGTAAATTCATTTTCAAGTTTGTAAATTCATTTTCAATTTTGTAAATTCATTTTCAATTTTGTAAATTCGTTTTCAAGTTTGTAAATTCGTTTTCAAGTTTGTAAATTCATTTTCAATTTTGTAAATTCATTTTCAATTTTGTAAATTCATTTTCAAGTTTGTAAATTCATTTTCAAGTTTGTAAATTCATTTTCAAGTTTGTAAATTCATTTCCAAGTTTGTAGATTCCGTGTACATTCGATACACCTGGTTAACATTAACTAAATATTCGAACGAACCCTTCTGAGAACAATATTTGTCGGTGGGGGGGATGGCTGAATGGTTAGCGTGCGCGCGCTGTATCATAAAGTCTGTCATTGAGTCGACTGGCGTGGTTTCGAATCCCCGGTTGTACGTGACAAAGAGGAGGGTCGCCTGTCCAACCTCGTGGGTTTTCTCCGGGTCCTCCGGTTTCCTCCCACTGCTAAAAGACCCCTACGCGCAAGCGAGTTGTTGAAATAAAATTAAACCATGTGTTAGTCCCGAAATGACCTAGGTTGTGTCGAGTGGACGTTAAACCCCATTTCTCTCTCTCTCTCTCTCTCTCTCTCTCTCTCTCTCTCAATATTTGTCGAGCGACAACTAGAGTCGTATCACAGTGTGAGACAGGGACGCATATCGTACAGACAGAATGAGCCCAGGTTTGCCGAATGGTGCTTGTAGTCTGGTTTACACGTCCATCGGAAAAAAGAAATTGTTTTTCAAACTTTCAAAGTTTAAAATTATAAACCAATTTTTAAAATAGAAAATGCACTTACAAAATTAGAAATTCAAAATCGAAAATTAATCTTTAAAATTAGAAAATCAATTTTAAAATAGAAAATTAATTTTAAAGTAGAAAATTAAAATCATAATAGGAAATCCCAAACAATAGTTCGTATTATAACTTCTGTAATTGGCTCATATTTGAAATATGAATCTGGGATTTCCAAATTGGTCCCTTATTCTATGCAAGACCAAACAGCTCTTTATTCAGTGTTCTTAATTCTTAGTTCTTAATTCACAGTCCTTAATTCTTATTTCTTCATTTGTTGTCGTATTTCGACATTTGTACACTAAAATTAGCATTTGTATTTTAAAATCAATATTTGTTTTACAAATCAGACATTTGTCATAATATCAGATTTGTAAAATGTATTTTAGTTGTATTTTAATATAAAGATAAAATTTATTTTAAAAAATCAAAAAGTAGCCTACATTTACATGCCACGATTTTGTCGCCTGTAGGTAGGATTTAGACCACCGTGTTGCCTTTATCTCTTGTGTTATTTAACGAATTACTCAAGTTCGTTCCGGGAATTGGATGGCCGAATGGTTAGCACTTGTGCGTTGTATCATAAGGTCTGTCACTGAGTCAACTGGTGTGGTTTCGATTCCACGATTGTACGTGACAAGGAGTAGGGTCGCCTGTCCAACCACGCGGGTTTTCTCAAGGTCCTCCGGGTTCCTTCCACTGCTAAAGACCCCTACGCTCAATCGAATTATTGAAATAATATTGAACCATGTGTTAGTCCCGAAATGACCTTGTTTGTGTCGAGTGGGCGTTAAAGCCCATTTCTCACCTCTCTCTCACCTTAATGTTTTTATTATTTTAGAATTAATTTGGCATTGAGACAAGTTGCAGAGTTCCAGGCAGCTTTTAATTGTCCTGCAGATTCCACAATGGTGGCCAAGAAAAAATGCACAATGTATTGAGATAGTTCATTAATGTCTGTTGAAATTAGAAATCTGATCAAATAATATTAGTTCAACACATATTATAGGTAACGGTATAAACAAAATCCAAAAGGAGGATAACTCGAAGTAACTTATTACATATGGATGCAGACCACCATTGAGTTAATGTAATTTCTTGTCTCTTTACCCGGCTCCAACTTTTCACCAAAGTTTCGCTGGGCTGAACGCTTTTTGCCCCAGACGGCGCAACAACTGGCCATATCTTTGTTCTTAAGCTTGTATGAGATTAAACTCTGAAATTTTGAGATACAATAAACGTGTAAATATCCGCCGTATTACGGTAACCAATCTATTATCCTTCCGCTACTAAACCAGGGGCCTGTTTCACGAAATTTTAACTAAGGTAAAATCCAAATTTCAGTAATTTGATTGGATAATATTAGTTTGATTATAGTGCTTAGTCAATCAAAATTGAAGTATCTACTAAAATTGGATATATCTTTAGTTAACATTTTGAGAAATAGGGCCCGGGAATATTTACCAATCCCTCCGCGTCTAAACTATGAATGTTTCCCAAATCAGACAGAAAATGTTAATTGAAACCCTCTTCTTGCATACACAAAAACATATCAATAAACATGGCCATTCAAACCCAAAGAAAGGGAGCCGAGAGGGATTGCTATATATAGACGCATTAAAAATCGGTGGTTTGCTTCCATGAGACATATTTCTTCTACATTACTTTATGTTTGAGCAACATTTTTACGAAGAACGTGGAATTTTTACGCCCAGTTCTTGAAAATTTTAAAATATTTTCATCATTAAGTGACTAAATAAAGATAGGATTATTTTTGTTTGGCTCTGTTGGCCTGTATTCTCCCTGTACTTTACACATATTAGTGAATTGTATTCAGTGTACATAATCTGTCTAAAGATATATTAAATAATCCTAATACATTTTATTATATCCGATTAGAAGAAGAATCCTTAAATATACATTATGTAAGATTTAGATAAAGAGCTGGTCATTCTTGCTATAAGGATTAGTGATATTAAAGAGCTAGCCATTCTTGCTATAATAGTTCGAAAATAGATAATGTAAAATGAATAATTTGAAAATTTCATTCAAATTACTCTATTGCAAGCGAAGATATTTGCCTTTGAAGGTTTGACAAGACGTGTGCAATAGTTCCGACCATCGTACTCCTCCATTTTTAGCTTAAATCAAAATAAGGCTGAACTAAAAATCCGATGCCATCGAGAGTTGATTATGGCCTGGATAAGTTAATTAATGTCTAATTAATAATTTAGAAAATAGAAAAAAATTCAGGCCTAAAGAAAGATCTGCAATAGGCAGATTTAGCTCTTGCATAATGTACGTTTAAGTATTCTATTAAATTTATCAAACTATCCAGTAGTGATAGAATTTTATGTAAATATCACACCTAGATTACTTTCGCTTAAATAACATTTTAGTTTAAACATTGCCTATATTTGATATATTACAATCAAGACGGAAGACTCGAATTAGACTTAAAGTATCCGCGGAACAATATCCAACTCGTTGAAATGGTTTCACTACTGATGTCTTTCTTCTTGCCACCAGCCGATACCCGGGCAAACTTTCCATCATAGCACAATGTATGGCGAATGCCCGTCTTCGGAACAGAATAGTAGGACGTTAAACCCCATTTCATTTCATTTCATTTCGTTCCCTAATCCTATGTTTTTTTTATGTCCGATGATTAACCAAACCGTATTTTAACTATCTGAACCCAGGCCAATAACTAAGGGGGGCGGGGGGGGGACACACAGGAGTTCGACCCACCCCCCGTTGGAAACATTGTCGACCATAGATATACATTGTCCGTCAATTTTACAGCACCCCTGAGAACACTTTCCGCCCCTCCCCCCTCGTTGCTCTGAGCTAGTTACGGCCCTGTCTGAACCTGGTTCCCGAGTTCACAAAACATTCTCAGATATTAGTTAAGAATTTACTCAAAATTGTTCACATTATTTTAACTAAATATAGCCCTTTATAAAACTTTTGTTGTTTTAATGTATCAAATACACCAATGAGGAACTTTATGTCATTTTTCGTGTTTGTGGATCAAAGATATTTCCCATAAACAGGGGCTCGCTAGCCTGAAGGTTGCGTGTTCGATCCCTGCATTGGTCGAGAAAGTTCATCGTGATTTTCCAGCGTGGTTTCCCCTTGCCAGTGATGCAGGACGGAGGGCCTGACAAGGACAGCTGTCTAGTCGTTCAGAGGGGACGAAAAACCGAGGTCTCGACCACAGTTTAGCGTGCACGTAAAAGATCCTTTGACAGTTGGAATTCCATATAAAAGTAGGCCATAGTGCCACTGCCCGGGCAAAATTTCCCTCATTGCACACTGTATGGCGTATGCCTGTCTTCATCAGGCCAGTCGGAGCAGAACAGTAGGACGTTAAACTCCTCTTCATTTCATCTCATTTTATTTTATAAACAATGATTGAAAGTTAAGTAAATTCTTAACTACATCTGAGAATGCTTTGTGAACTCGGGACCTCTATTCACAAATGTACGGATAAAAGGCCTCTATTCATAGTTTATTGTGATCTGCTTATTTGTAAATTGTTTACGCTTGATAACTGTTATTGATATTAATGTGTATAAACCAGTAATTAATTGTTTTTAATATAAATTGTGTTGTGTTTTTATATTTATTTAATCTCTAAATGCCACTCCGGAATTACAATGGGTGTATTAATCATGCATTCAATCCAATACTCTATCTTAGCGATGAAATGCCACTCTGGAATTACAATGGGTGTATAAATCATGCATTCAATCCAACACCCTATCTTAGCGATGAAATGCCACTCTGGAATTACAATGGGTGTATTAATCATGCATTCAATCCAACAACCTATCTTAGCGATGAAATGCCACTCTGGAATTACAATGGGTGTATTAATCATGCATTCAATCCAACACCCTATCTTAGCGATGAAATGCCACTCTGGAATTACAATGGGTGTATTAATCATGCATTCAACCCAATACCCTATCTAAGCGATGTTATCGGGTGTTCTATCTTCTTGAAAGGGTGAGAAATCCCCAATTTAATCCTTGAATTACAACACTACAGAGGAGCCGCGGTGGCTAAGTGAGTTAGACGTTCGGTCACTAGTTTGGGGGTCGCATATTCGATCCCTTCATTGACCGAGAAATTTCATCGGGATTTTCCGACGTGGTTTCCCCTTGTCAGTGGTGCAGGGCGGCGGGCTTTGTCATTGGTGCAGGGCGGAGGGCCTGACAAGGTTAGCTGTCTAGTCGCTCGGATGGGGCGAAAAACCGAGGTCCCGTGTAAACATTGGCGTGAACATAAAAAATCCCTTGACAGTTGGAATTCGATATAAGAATAGACCATAGTGCCGCTACCCGTGCAAAATTTTCCTCATAACACACGGCGTATGTTCATCTTCATTATCCTCGTCGGAGCAAAACAATAGGATGTTAAACCCCATTTCATTTCATTTATCATCACATTACACGGTTTGTACGTGGGAAGCATCCTTAATATACTTTTAAAAAAAATGCAAATACCTATGCAGGTTGTCATATGATAAATAGTCAACGTCAACCGACAACACTGCAAGAATTGGCCGTGGCACTGCAAGAGGAGTGGGTCAGATTGTCCAACATTGTGATTGGACGGTTGATTAGGGGCATGCCTCGACTAATTGCTGAATGTATGAGGATTGGTGGAGCAATTACTTATTATTGAGACAATAAACAAAAACGTTCATTTTCACTATCTCTTTGCGAGTGAAATGGGGCCGTCAGATAAGCCACCCATATGAACTGTTTATGTTCATGTGTAGGCAATTGGACTGTTATTAACATACACTGGTTACCTCTAACAAAAACAGCATAAAGGTTAAAAATGCCTAAAGAAAGTATATTTATATATAAAACCATCTAACTCTCAGTTAATCATATAAGTAAAATTCAAGTACTTTCATCGTTATCAAACGAATCGTCAGGCCATTTTAATGCGATACTATGCTGTTACAATAACGTTACGTCATAACAGAGGACAATGACTATGTGAAATATAAAAAAAACCGAAATAACATTAATAAAATATCAAACATAATTAAAATAATCACCCCTTCGCATTCAAAATTGGGTTATATTTAGCGATAAAGTTGCTTTCTTTTGTTTCCAAGAGATCAGTATCACTAATATTGAGTTTGTACAAAGGAAATATCTTGAATTGACCTTTACCACAAATATCCAAATGTTCGCTCACCGGCAAAACTCTATTTCTTGCGAGTTTTATATTAGAACGATGTTGGTTAATTCGTAAATTCAACTGATCAGTAGTTTTTCCAATGTACTTGCCATTACAACCATTACATATTAATAAGTAAATTACATACTTCGATTTGCAATTCATATTTTGTTTAACATAGAATTTAATATCTTTAGTAATTTCGACAAATGTTCCTTCTAATATATCGGAACATGTCATACATCGTAGGTCCCCACACTTGGATACACGGGGTACCGAAATATCAGAATCAAACTTTGATGATGTTAATATTCTTCTAAGATTTTGAGGTTGTTTTAGACTATTTATAATTTTTGAATTATTTAGGATGTATTTTAATATATATATATATCACATTTAACGTTAGTCACTGTCAATAATAATAGTCAAGTTATTTATTAAATATCGATTATTAACGGAGTTGTGTGATCACGTGACATGAACATCTGTAACCTAATAATAAAGTCATAAGTTATAATGCTATAAACATTAAGGTCGGTATTTTTTTATACGTTTATAATCTTTTACAATAGACAAAGTACGTTTATAATATCTTAAATTAAACAATGTACGTTTATAATATCTTGCATTAAACAAACAATGTACGTTTATAATATTTTACATTAAAGGCTCAATACCACTCATGTTGTAACTGAATAATATGTCCCAATCTTTATTCTGGTCAACAAATTGCACTATTTTACAATATTCCAATTAATTGATGATACAAATTTCATCTTAAAACACCTAATTTAAAAAATTGGTAAATTTCAACTAAATGATTTGAAAAGCCTGACCTAAAAATATTTTTGAACCCTCTGGACAAGTAAAATAGGATTTAATGGATAATTTACACAACAGGTAAGACACTAACACATCTAGTACTTAGAATAAGGCTATTTTTTATTTTCTTGAGCTGTCAAGCCAGCAAGAGTGTTATTGTCCCTTTAAACAATGTACGTTTATAATATTTTACATTTAACAATGTACGTTTATAATATCATCGTCGAAACGTTGCATGTTAATAAACCAGTAATTGTTATTCCATAAATAGTGTTAGTGAGGTACTGTTCAATTACTAAATGTCTCTTAAAGAATGTTTACAATTATAGCTTCACTTGAGAACAGACACCAGACATTTTCTGTCTTAAAGCGACGATTATAGTCGAAAACACTAAGTATGTTTCGAGACTTGAGAATCATATATTCTGCTTTAATTTTAATTAAAATGAAATTGCGTATTTTGCCTTTTTTGTGTATGAAAAAGTAAAACCGAGAACAGAAACGCATTGTAAAACAGTATAATAATTGCTGAATATGGCGGTCATTTAGGACAGAGATTCTATTCTTACACTGCTAAAGACCCCTACGCCCAAGCGAATTTTTGAAATAAGATTGAACCATGTGTTAGTTCCGAAATCACCTAGTTTGTGTCGAGTGAACGTTAAACCCCATTTCGCCCTGTGTGCATAATGACCGATCCTCGGATAGATTGAACCATGTGTTAGTCCCGAAATCCCCTAGTTTGTGTCGAGTGTTTTATCTTCCAATTAATAAATGCCACTTAAAGAATCACTACTGGCAAGCGAATTATTGAAATAAAATTGAACCCTTTGTTAGTCCCGAAATGACCTAGTTTGTGTCGAGTAGACTTTATATTCTATATCAAATTTGTATTTCATTGATTTTCCATTGTTATTGGACAATTTAATGTGTCATCTGTTAACATGCATGAAATGACATATAAAAACACAATTGGAATTCTATAAAGGGATGAATAAATTTAATATTTTCTATGGTTTCACACTAAAGAATATTTTGATTTTAAAAAATTGTCCCAGTCGAAAGATATTTAATATATACTTATGATTTAATCGTTAGTAAACGTGGTTTCCCCTTGTCGGTGATGCACACGGAGGGCCTGACAAGGACAGCTGACTAGTCGTTCGGATGGGACGAAAAACCGAGGTCCCGTGTACAAATTGGCGTGCACGTAAAAGATCCCTTGGCAGTTGGAATTCGATATAAGAGTAGGTCGTAGCGCCGCAGCCCGGGCAAAATGTCCCTCATAGCACACTGTATGGTGTATGCCCGTCTTCATTAGCCCAGTTTAGGAGCAAAACAGTAGGACGTTAAACCCCATTTCATTTCATTTCATTTCCTTAGCAAACGAGAGTCACCGTGGATCAGTGGCGTTCTCGGGTATAATCCCGGCATCCCGAGTTGTGGTGGTGGCAGTGCTGCATAGGGTGGGGGTTGTGATGGGAGTGGGGTATAGGGTTGGGGTGGGAGTGGTGTATAGAGTTGGGGTTGTGGTGGGAGTGATGTATAGAGTAGGGGTTGTGGTGGGAGTGGTGTATAGAGTGGGGGAGTGGTGTATAGAGTTGGGGCTGTGGTCGGAGTGGTGTATAGAGTGGGGGAGTGGTGTATAGAGTTGGGGCTGTGGTCGGAGTGGTGTATAGAGTTGGGGTTGTGGTGTATAGAGTTGGGGCTGTGGTCGGAGTGGTGTATAGAGTTGGGGTTGTGGTGGGAGTGGTGTATAGAGTTGGGGTTGTGGTCGGAGTGATGTATAGAGTAGGGGTTGTGGTGGGAGTGGTGTATAGAGTGGGGGAGTGGTGTATAGAGTTGGGGCTGTGGTCGGAGTGGTGTATAGAGTGGGGGAGTGGTGTATAGAGTTGGGGCTGTGGTCGGAGTGGTGTATAGAGTAGGGGAGTGGTGTATAGAGTAGGGGCTGTGGTCGGAGTGGTGTATAGAGTGGGGGAGGGGTGTATAGAGTTGGGGCTGTGGTCGGAGTGGTGTATAGAGTTGGGGTTGTGGTGGGAGTGGTGTATAGAGTTGGGGTTGTGGTGGGAGTGGTGTATAGAGTGGGGGTTATGGTGGGAGTGGTGTATAGGGTTGGGTTGTGGTTGGAGTGGTGTATAGAGTGGGGGTTGTGGTGGGAGGGATGTATAGAGTTGGGGTTGTGGTGGGAGGGGTGTATAGAGTGGGGGAGTGGTGTATAGAGTTGGGTTGTGGTGGGAGTGGTGTATAGAGTGGGGGAGTGGTGTATAGAGTGGGGATTATGGTGGGAGTGGTGTATAGGGTTGGGTTGTGTGGGAATGGTGTATAGTGTAGGCGTTGTGGTGGGAGTGGTGTATAGGGTTGGGTTGTGGTGGGAATGGTGCATAGAATGGGGGAGGGAGGTGGAGCATAGATGGGGCTGTGGTGGACGGAGTAGTTTATAGTGTGGGAATTGTGGTGGTGAGAGTGGTGTATAGCCATAGGGTGGAGTATTTTCTGGGTGCGGAAATAAGTTAAATATAAACAAAGAAAACAGTAGACAACAGGTACAGCTGTAGCTTGATTAAAACCTACACCCAGGGGATCTTTAACGTACTGTCCGTCGTATACATGGGACCCGGGTTGTTTGTTTGATCCCAAGGACCATGCACCAATCCTTACCAGACCCCCTTCATACTGCATTACGGACAATGTGTAAACCAAGCAGGAGAGAGAGAGAGAAATGGGGTTTAACGTCCACTCGACACAAACTAGGTCATTTCGGGACTAACTCATGGTCAAATTTTATTTACATAATTCGCTTCCGCGTAGGGGTCTTTAGCAGTGGGAGGAAACCGGAGGACCCGGAGAAAACCCACGAGGTTGGACAGGCGACCCTACTCCTTGCCACGTACAACCGGGGATTCGAAACCACGCCAGTCGACTCAATGACAGACTTTATGATACAGCGCGCGCACGCTAACCATTCAGCCACCCAACCCCCCTAAACCAGGCAGGAAAATCCTGCGAAACTTTCTCTCTAGTCCCGAAATGACCTAGTTTGTGTCGAGTGGACGTTAAACCCCATTTCTCTCTCGGTCAACACCCGGATCGAACCCGAAGTACCGTGGTTAGTGCACACTGATCAGTAGTGAATATTCGCTAGACCGCTACAATCACTGATAAGGATGACATCGATGCGACTTAATGAGCCAGAAATATTAACTTTTTTCCTCCGACAAATTAAATTCTAAAACATTTTTTTTTTATGTATTAAAAAAATAAATAAAGGCTTTTGACGTACTTGTAGATAAAAATTATTTCTTATTTAGTGCGAATGGGTATTAAAATGAGTAAAAGTCGCCATTCTGCCCGAACTAGAACGTCTTATGTAAACAATGCATGCGCCATTGAGCCAATGCTTGACGCCGTGTGATGAGACGTCATGTGTTAAAGGAAATTATCTTTAACAGAGATATTAGAAGACTTTCGTAATCCTCTGTGAAACAGATTGTGGTTACTGAGACAGCGATATGCTCATCCTATATTGTTATACAATTAACTTAAATATAACTTACCATGTAAATCGTATTTCAGACGATGTTGACGAAGCAGTAAAACCATCTGGGACACAAACAAGATTCAAATCGTTTCAGGACAAACAAACTCAAGTTTTTGATGACGTCCAACTATATTTTTATTTGGGGTTTGTGATATCAGGTGTTCGGTGATAGTGATATCAGGTGTTCGTTTTATCGGGTGTTCGTGTAATTATGTATTCACCTGGAATATTTCCCAATAATTCATATCAGTCTGATGGATGAGACAGTCATATAATACATAAACTTTCTTATGCAAATATAGCCGCTGGGTGAATGAACTGCAACCATAACGTTACATGAGCAAAACCACAACGTTAAGAGCGGACAACCATATCATTAACAGAAGACAGCCATAACATTAATAGAGAACAACCATAGCGTTAAGTGGGGACAACCATTACGTTAAGAGAGAACAACCATAACGCTAAGAGCGGACAACCATAGCGTAAAGAACGGACAACCATAGCCTTAAGATGGGACAACCAAGACGTTAAGAGGGGACAACCATAACGATAGGAACTACCAAAACCATAGTATTAAGAGAAGGCAGCCATAACGTTAATAGAGAAAAACCATAGCGTTAAGAGAAGACAACAATAACGTTGAGAAAGAACAGCCATTACGTTAAGAGCGTACAACCATAGCGTTAAGACGGAACAGCCATTACGTTAAGAGCGTACAACCATAGCGTTAAGACGGAACAGCCATTACGTTAAGAGCGTACAACTATAGCGCTAAGAGTGGACAACCATGACGTTGAGAAAGGACAACCATAACATTAAGCGGGGACAACTACAATGTTAAGAGAGGACAACCATAAAGTTCAGCAATGATAACCATAACGTTAAGAGAGGACAACCATAAAGTTCAGCAATGATAACCATAACGTTAAGAGAGGACAACCATAAAGTTCAGTGAGGATAACCATAACGTTAAGAGAGGACAACCATAGCGTTAATCGGGGACAACTAAGGCGTTAAGAGAGGACAACCATAAAGTTCAGTGAGGATAACCATAACGTTAAGAGAGGACAACCATAAAATTCAGCGAGGAAAACCATAACGTTAAGAGCGGACAACCATAACGTTAAGAGAGGACAACCATAGCGTTAATCGGGGACAACTAAGGCGTTAAGAGAGGATAACCATAAAGTTCAGCGAGGATAACCATAACGTTAAGAGCGGACAACCATAACGTTAAGAGCAGGCAACCATAACGTTAAAATGGGACAACCATGATGTTTTTTTTTAAGACAACCTTAACGTTAAGAGAGATGATGTCAACCACGGTAACCTGAGTATGGATTGTGCTCGAGGAACGATCGACATTAACAAAAACGGGAAACATAGGCTTAACTCGTCATATGTTGTTGATTAATCCCTACAAAAACTCACATAATATAAGGGACTGTTGCTTTAAATTTTAAACATATTGTAAGAAATCGCCATTTTACAAAATGGCTTCTACAGCGAAATCTAAGATGGTTGATGAAATGGACGGATCAAAAACTCTTTTAATCCCAAAGAAGGAACATTCTGCCTACGTGTATATCTTAACGTTTTTCGCAGTTTTAGGTGGATTTTTATTCGGATATGATACTGGAATTATATCAGGTTCAATGTTGTTAATACGACCTTATTTTGACTTGGATACGTTTTGGACCCAGTTGATTGTGAGTGCTACAGTTGGATCAGCGGCTGTATCAGCTTTAATAGCTGGATTTATGTCAGATTGTCTGGGTAGAAAGGTTGTTATTATTCTTGGTAGTTTTGTATTCGCTGTTGGAGCTGTTGTAATGGGTGTGGCTGATTCACAAGTTATTCTGTTGGTAGGGAGAATTATAGTTGGTATTGGTGTTGGTAAGTAGAGTTATCCTTCCTTGTCTTTCGCGTGACGTCATTTAGCCACAGATCACTAAAGATTTCCCCATTGACTTTAATGTTAATTTCTATCTTGGGTAAAACGCTTTCTACCAAAGATGGAGCAACATGTGGCAACCTCTTGCCCAAAAGTACGTATGTGGTTCTTCATGAAAAACTTGAGATACACAAGCTGGAAGTAGAGACATGTATGCAATTTTAGGCCCTACATTTAACCTAACCAACCTCCAAACTCTTGTATCCATCCGCCTCAAAATTATGAATATTCACCAAATCCTGGCAGAAATGTATTTTCAAACCTTTTTCGTCGATTCTACACCAAACAGTCAACAAAAATCACCATGCAAAAGGGGGTAAAAGGAAAAGGGAGAGAAAGACTAAAAATAGCCTTGGCCCTTGTTTCGTGGGTGACGGCATAGGTGACGGCGTATGAAATTTGGTGAGCTGTATCCATTTAACCTTTCACGTACAAAATCACCCACACGTCATTGTAAACAATATTATTTGTGAAACAAAAAAGAAAACCCTTCAATTTAGCTGCATACGAAACTTGCGCAATTTTGTTATAATTAATTGTGTGGTATTTTGGCGGATATAATGTAGCAAACAAGTAGATTTAAACCCGTTCAGGGGTTTATAACTAGTGCCTGTGTGAACACCTGGCTTAGCTTTACCATTAGCCTACGGTATTATATAACCAACAAAATATAATATATGGTATCATCAAACATACACAGGTCATATCTGGTATGATTAAATCGAAAAATGTCACATATTAATGATCAAACCGTAAAATACCATATATGGCATGATCAACCCGAAAAATGCCATATATGGTATGATCAAACCGTAAAATACCATATATGACATGATCAAACCGAAAAATGCCATATATGGTATGATCAAACCGTAAAATACCATATATGGCATGATCAAACCGAAAAATGCCATATATGGCATGATTAAACGGAAAATGTCATGTATCTAGAATCGTTGCTGAATTACATGTAGTAGAACTGAATATTCCATTCAAAGTATTGATATGATATATCTATAAAGTTATTTATTACAGGTTTTGCATCTATGACAGTACCTGTGTATGTAGCCGAGGCAGCGCCACCTGATATTAGAGGAAGATTAGTTACCTTAAATCAACAGTTTATTACAATAGGTCTTCTGGCAGCCAGTTTAGTAGCCGGGGGATTTAGTAGTTGGGAGGACACTGGATGGAGGTCAGAAAATTTAACATCATTATTTATACGCTTTACTCAGTAGTCAGCATCTATTCACAATACTCACTATCCATTCACATTACTCACTAGCCATTCACATTACTCACTAGCCATTCACAATAATACCCGCCATTTACATTACTCACTATCCAATCATATTACTCACTAGCCATTCGCATTACTCACTATACATTTACATCACTCATCATTTACATTACTCACTATCCATGTATATTATCATTATATTTATTCACATTACTCACTATTCATTCATTTTACTCACTAGCCATTCACATTACTCACTAGCCATGTACATCATTATCCATTTACATTACTCACTAGCCATTTACATTACTCACTATCCATTTAAATCACTCAACATTTACATTTACTCAATATAGATTTACATTAATCGCTAGCCATTCTCATTACTCACTATCCATTCACAATACTCAATTCACACCACTCCCTAGCCATCCGCATTACTCACTATCCATTTACATCACTCACCATTTACATAACTCACTATCCATTTACATTACTCACTAGCCATACACAATACTCAATATCTAAACACTTTACTCAGCATCTGTTAATTTTATCGGAGCATATATTTGGGCTGGCGAATGGTAAAAAAAGTATTTCAGCTCAGTCGCAATATTAAAATATGTATAGTCATTAGATATTTAATCTACACTGGATAATATTGCTAAAATGATCTATAGAAATTATCACTAAGCCTGTTCTCGCTCTCTACTACAGTCAGTAACGATAACTGCTTTTCCTTTTTCTATGCGTCACAATTTCAACGCGGTAAAATTGTCCTTTAATGTTATTTTTTCATTTTACAAGCTTGTGTTAATATCAGTTTCTAACAACTATCAATAGTATATTTGGCATGTATATGATCGGGATTATCTCACTTATAAGAATGTGAACTTGATAGACTTCGGGAATAGTACTTATGAAATATGGAATGGAGTTTAACGTCCTACTGTTCTGCTCCTAACCTGGGCTAATGAAGACGGGCATACGCCATACAGTGTGCTATGAGGGAAATTTTGCCCGGGCAGCGGCGCTACGGCCTACTAATTATATCGAATTCCAACTGCCATGGGATCTTTTACGTGCACGCCAATGTGTACACGGGACCTCGGTTTTTCGTCCCATCCAATTAACAGTTATCAATATTATGTTATATTTTAAGGTATATGTTGGGATTAGGTGGGGTTCCGGCCATCTTCCAATTTTTGGGGATGTTATATCTACCAGAGAGTCCTAGATGGTTGATCGACCAGGAGCTCGAAGCTACAGCACGTGCTAGTCTCGTACAGATCAGAGGTACAGAAGACGTGGATAAGGAATTAGAGGATATTAAAGAGAGTGTTGCTAATGCCAAGAAAGCTTCTTTAGATGGTATGGATGAAATTTGATTTTGACTGTTGTGATGCATTGGTACCTAAACACAGTGATTTTCCCCTTTGTCCGTTAAACAGGCAAAGGCTAACATACGACATGCTCGCCATCCCCTTCGCGGTTACAGAGCGATGTTGAATCTCTAAACGCAGTTTGAAATGATTGGATGACAGGAAAGTATTTGAAATGATTGTAGACATAAGCGACGATTCGGTCGGTTTTGTTTGTTTATAGTTTGTATATGTTTTGTGTTTGATGCAGTTGATATAATATAAACTTTTGTATATTTTGTAGATTATAACAGATAAGTAATATTAAGTATATTTTGTAGATAACAGATTAGTAATATTCAGAATCTGGACAACACCACATGTTAGACGAGCCCAGATTGTTGGTGCATTTCTTCAGGTCTTTCAACAAGCGTGCGGTATTAATACAATCATGTACGTACTAGAAATAAAGCTACTTCACTTTCCAATATAAATGAATTATCTTGTTTTTGTCAGTAAATTTAAAAACTCCGATACAATGATGGACAGGTCATCCTTTATGTATCATGTCGGTCCTTTATTCTAAAGTGTTATAGGGCAATATTCGTATCCAGTCCAGAGGTTCATATTTACCTGACAATCCTAGTGCCCGTATGGTCATCCCGTCCCTAATGTTATTCTTCGTCTATTGTCAGTCCGTTCTATTAGAAGAATGTATAACTACACGAATCGCTAAAATTCTCTTGCATAATGTATGTTTAAGTGATTTCGAGCAGTATTCATATCTAGTCCAGAGGTCCATATCTACCTGACGGTCTTAGTGCCCGTATGGTCATCCCATCCCGTCCCTAATGTTATTTTTCAGCTATCATCAGCCATCTTGTTGAAACGTCACAGTGAAATAAACCATAGTAATTGTTATCCATAAATAGTGTTTTATTTGACCAGCCCGTTCTATTAGAAGAATGTAGAACTACATGGATCGCTATAAATCACGAACTAATTCTATCTCTTCATCTATTAGGTTAAAGAAAGACCTGCAATAGGCACTTGTATAATGTATGTTTAATGATTAATTTATGAAATATTGTAGCAATGCGAAATATTATATTCCAGATATTACAGTGCTTCTATATTAAAGATGGGCGGTTTCTCAGTTCAACAGTCTATATGGTTGGTGGCTATACCATATAGTATCAACTTTCTAGCTACATTTATAGGATTAGGTCTTGTTGATAGGGTGGGCAGAAGAATCTTACTCTTAGCTAGTTTTATAGGTTTGTATGTCGTCATAGTTACTGCCTATGGTTGGTTTAAACTTCATATGATACTTTTATTGTTCTTTAAACACATCATGTACAAAACTTAAGACTTCGTAATTAACTGGTGTTGAGGGAGCCATAGTCCTAGCTTAGCTTGATACCCTTGGGTGCCAACTCCCAGGTAACTTACATTGCCGTTGCCCGGTTTTAACTCGAGACCTGCCGGTCCCAAGTTAACTTCTAGACGCCCTCGCCTAGTCTGAATAATCTAAGTTTAATACTGCTTATAGCCGCTTTCTAGACAAAGGATGAACGAAGAGATTTTGCAGATGGCTATATAACATCATACGTTCAGTAGAGATTACTTTACAGGCCAGCCATTAGTTTATATTATACTATTCAAAAAAAGTAGGGGATATTTGATTTTGGGAGCATAATACTAAAATATGCAAATGACTACGAAAAAAGTCACTATAGAACCTAACAGAAGAAACATTTCCAGTTACATGTGACGCCCAAACGCACCAATAGCTACCGCATGGAATGCAGGTGATGCTTGGGATCATCATGGGGGTCCAACCCAAGATTTGCACGACTCTGACTTTGAATGTTACAGTCATTGTGGCATTGATTCCAGGGTGGAAACATCAGTTTAATTGTTTTAGTGACCAGAAAACAAATTTTGATATGCGTCGGCTTACCCAAAATGAAAGGTTACGTGCCCTTGGCATGCTACAGATCGGCACAACACAGGCGGTTGTGGCGCGGACGATGAATGTTTCTCAGTCTGTCATAAGCAGGCTATGGTCCAGATACCGTGATACACAATCTGTACAGGACAGACCACGCTCAGGTCGACCAAGGGCGACAACCTAAGCCCAGGATCGATTTATCCGTACCTTGGCCTTGAGAAATCGTGTCATCACAGCAAATCAGATCAGCGCTCGTCTTCAAACAGACACTGGTGTGAAAGTGAGTGGCCAGACGATTCGGAATCGACTGCATAGGGGTCACCTTCGCGCCCGACGTCCTCGCGTGATCCCTTGTTTGAGAGATCATCACATTCAGGCAAGACGTCGTTGGTGTAGGGATCGTCAACACTGGGATAATCGACGCTGGAGCAATGTGATGTTTTCAGATGAGTCAAGGTTCACTGTTGATTTTTTGGACAGACGTAGGAGATGGTGGCGTCGTCGAAACGAGCGCTTCCAAGACGTTAACGTCATCAGACATGATCGATTTGGGGGTGGTTCTGTTATGGTGTGGGGAGGCATCACTGTTGCTGGAAGAACGGCTTTACATGTTGTTGCAGGGCGTGTTACAGGCCAGTACTACCGGGACAACATCTTGGCAGTCCATGTTGTGCCGTTCGCACGACGTCATGGCCGCCAATTCATCTTCCAGGATGACAACGTCCTGCCAATGTCCAAGAACTTCCTGCTGCGTTGCAACAGGAATGGGACAATCTGGACCAAAATGACCTTAGACGTCTCATTAGGAGTATGCCACGTCGGATCAATGCTTGTTTGGCAAACAGAGGAGGATTTACCCGTTACTGACTTGGTTGTGATGCTGTGGTAACTTTGCTGTTTGACCCCGGGTATCATTTTACCCTTATAATGGTCAGTCTGTGCCTTACTTAGTCTAACGATCATTTGGAATAAATCGATGAATGTGAACTTCATTTCATTTTGTCATTTGTTTCTTCGTCAGTTTCATTAGGTGACTTTAATAACACTTAAAAATCAAATATCCCCTACTTTTTTTGAATAGTATATAATGAAAACGACAACATGGGTGTCGATAGCAGACAGGAGGATATTAAAATCAGCATTGACACCTGTCATTATGTAAGAAGTTATCTATCTGCATGATTTTAACATCTAGCCATACACCTATTTGGTAGGCTGTTCGGAAACCCATTTTAAACGTAGGAACCAGAATGACCCCAGTAGCAGTCCCACTTTTCATGTATGCGTTTCCGCCAGCGGAACAACACCGTTTTTGGGTATTTTATGATTTGCACGTAAATGACGCCAGAAGTGAGGATTTCTCTATAATTATAGCATAAATGACACAATTCTGTAAAATTCGAGATTCCGAGGAAAGCAAATGTAATGAAATGAAATGGGGTTTAACGTCCTACTGTTTTGCTCCGAACTGGGCTAATGAAGACGGGCATACGCCATACAGTTTGCTATGAGGGAAATTTTGCCCGGACAGCGGCACTACGGCCTACTCTTATATCGAATTCCAACTACCAAGGGATCTTTTACGTGCACGCCAATGTGTACACGGGACCTCGGTTTTTCGTCTCATCCGAATGACTAGACAGCTGTCCTTGTCAGGCTCTCCGTCCTGCATCACTGACAAGGGGGAACCACCGGGGAAAGGAATTAAAGATATTTTATTGTATATATATTTGTCTATTTTTCAGGTGTATTTATATCATTAGGTATCATGGCAACCGGCTTTCAACTAGCAGCTATAAATTCTCCACCGATACATCTATATGAGAATAACACAGATATAGATACAAGTTGTAATACCACAGATTATAGGTATGGATTATCTCCCCTTCGTAGACTGTACAACGGTCCAAGGAGCGTCATGGCGTTCGGGAGCTACGGTGGCTCAGTGGGTTATCTCCCCGTCTTGGGATCGGAACACCGGAGGAATGTTTTATGTTTTCTGTCAGGTCCATACTTATACTGCACATTATGTGCTATTGTCACAAGACACCCAAGGAAATGTGGTTTAACGTCCTACTGTTCTGCTCCTATACTGGGCTAATGAAGACGGGTATACGTCATACAGTGTGCTATGAGGGAAATTTTGTCCTGACAGCGACACTATGGCCTACTCTTATATTGAGTAAATATGAATCCTATGACACAGAATCCACCATAAAGCTGATGCAGTGGAACGAAAGTTTTTTGATCCAAATGTTTATAAACCTAGTAGACCCGTGAATTGAAGTTCCTCTTCCACTTCGATGCTATGATGAATCTCTCGATGTTACAAAGGGGCTGTTCGATGGCTTATTCATAAGGTTCGTCACTGAGTCAGATGGAGTGGTTTCGATTCCCTGGTTATACGTGACAAGGAGTAGGGTCGCCCTGTCTAACCTCGTGGGTTTTCTCCAGGTCCTCCGGTTTCCTCCCACTGTTAAAGACCCCTACGCGCAAGCGAATTATTGGAATAAAATTGAACCATATGTTAGTCCCGACATGACCTAGTTTGTGTCGAGTGGACGTTAAACCCCATTTTTGTCTCTCTATGTTACAAACCACGCCTACACCTATATATGGGGCCTAGAAGATAGAAACTCTTTTAAAACACAACCGTACACACGTGTATGTTTTTATATTGATATTTTGACCTTTAAAGACAACCGGAAACACGTGTATGTTTTTATATTAATATTTTGACCTTTAAAGATTGTGTTTTATTTATTTTTATAGATCGTGTAACGACTGTACAACCAACCTAGACTGTGGCTATTGTTACTCTTCAACAATGGACGGTTCTTGTCTTCCGGTTGATTCTATGCTAGGACGATGTAATAATTCGGATACATCGGGATCTAAATATATCTTTACGTATGATTTCTGTCCCAATGATTATGGTTGGATGTTGGTTGCTGGCATGGGATTGTTTGTGACGTCATTCGCACCAGGTATTTATCACACTGATCAGCAGTAAATTTTCGCTAGGCCGCTACAATCACTGATAAGGATGACATCGATGCCACTTAATGAGTCCCAAATATTAACTTTTTTCTTCCGTCAAATTAAATTCTAAAACATTTTTTTCATTTATTAGAAAAATAATTAAAAGACGTTTGAATTGTTTGTAGGTAAAAATCATTTCCTATTTAGTGCAAATGGGGATTAAAATAAGTAAAATTCACCATTTAGCCCGAATCAGTAACGTCTTATGTAAACAATGCACGCGCTATTGAGCCAATGATTGACGCCGCGTGATGTGACGTCACTTTTCGAAACAGTCATCTGTAACAGAGATATTAAAAGATCTCTGTGAAACAGATTGGGTATTTATTTTATAGTTTGTCGACATACAGGCTAACTGTCACGTGAGCTTTCGTTTAGCATCCATATTAACGCAACATGTGGTGGGTTTTACGGTCACGATTCGGGAGAGACTTCCTCATTGGTTGATTGCACGTCGTTCCTCGTTACACGTAAACTATCAATCTGTGACGTCACATCACGCGGTGTTAATTATTGTGTCGTAAGAATGACTTTAGATCGATATTGTGTCGTAAGAATGACTTTAGATCGATATTGTGTCGTAAGAATTACTTTATATCGATATTGTGTCGTAAGAAAGACTGTGTCCGTTATGATACGTTTTATATCTTTCTATTTAAATTCACGTGACAAGGGTTGGGGGTGGGGGTCCTCGCCCTGCTTAAGACCTCTACGCGCAAACAAATTATTGAACAAAGGGTGAATCATATGTTACTCTCTCTCTCTCTCTCTCTCTCTCTCTCCTTTATTGGTTTGTTGAATATTTCAGGATTAGGACCAATGCCAATGACTTTTAATTCTGAGATTTATCCCCTATGGGCGAGAAGTACTGGGTTTTCTGTCGCCACAGCTGTTAATTGGTCCTTTAACCTGTTGGTGTCCTTCACATTCCTTTCATTGATGCAGCTTATTACCAAATATGGTAAGTAACAAATGGTAATTTAATCAGAGCCATCTAAAGATAGAGCTGGGAAATTTGTTTACTCGATTTGCAGCATGTAGTAATATGAGAACCGATATTACAATTGCGTGGCAATAACAGTATAAACCACATTGGAACCATTCGATTTTATTTATTTGACATAAGTGGAGGTCGGAAAAAAATCTTAAGCACATGACCCAAGGCTGATCATTGCGTCCATTTTATTTAGCGAGTTCATTTCGTATTTGTTTCAATCAGTTTATGAGTATATACATGTGGGGGGGGGGCTGAATGGTAAGCGTGTGCGCGATGTATCATAAAGTCTGTCATTGAGTCGACTGGTGTGGTTTCGATTCACCGGTTGTACGTGACAAGGAGTAGGGTCGCCTGTCCAACCTCGTGGGTTTTCTCCGGGGCTTCCGGTTCCCTCCCACTGCTTAAGACTCCTACGCGCAAGCGAATTATTGAAATAAAATTAAACCATACGTTAATCCCGAAATGACCTAGTCTGTGTCGAGTGGACGTTAAACCCCATTTCTCTCTCTTTCGTATATACATGTACTTGTGTATGATAGATTATTTGTGTATGGGTTTATACAACGTCGAATATAGGTCGAAAACACGTTGTACAACGTCACGACCAATATTGACGTTGTCACAATGTTGTAACAACGTTGCGTGCCCGCTGGGATGCATCTATTTGTGTATGGGTCATTACCTCCAATATCAAACCTAGCCATAAATGTACCCCCTTGTTCTCGTAAATAACATTTAATATTAGATGCAAAATTTTCCCGCATAGCTTACTGCATAGCGTGTGTCTATCTTCATTAGCCAAGTTTATTTCTTAGATTCTTTATTGGCCAAGTGGGTAAAACGCTGGCTCACTAGCCTGGAGGTCGGGTGTTTGACCCCTGCATTGGCAGAGAAAGTTCATCCGACGTGGTTCCCCCTTGTCAGTGATGCAGGACTGAGGGCCTGACAAGGACAGCGGTCTAGTCATTCGGTTGAGACGATCGAATAACCGATGTCCCGTGTACACATTGGCGTGCACGTAAAAGATCTCTTGACAGTTGGAATTCGATATATGAGTAGGCCGTAGTGCCGCTGTCCGGACAAAATTTCCCTCTTAGCAAACTGTATGGGATATGCTTGTCTTCATTATCCCAGTCTGAGCAGAACAGTAGGACGTTAAACCCCATTTCATTTTATTTGATTTCGATGCTTTATTTTATTTTTATTTTTCAGGAACATTTTGGTTATATGGTGGATTCTGTGTCACAGGATTCATATTTACTCTAATATTCGTTCCGGAAACAAAAAATAAAACTTTAGAAGAAATGGAAGATTTATTTAAAACTGACGAAGAAAGGAAACTAGAAAAATCAAAATCAGCGGAAAATAAAATAAACGATAAAAAGGAAACGGGGAACGAAACTGGGTTTTGATTTCTGTTTATTCCGTAGGAAATTGGTTGTTTATTTAAATTTTTAAATTGGGTTTATTTCATTTACTTGCTAGCCTGGAGGTCACGTGTTCGATCCCTGCATTGGCGGAGAAAGTTTATCGCGATTATCCGGCATGGTTTCCCCTTGTTTGTGGTGCAGGAAGGAGGGTCTGACAAGGACAGCTGTCTAGTCGTTCGTATGGGACGAAAAACCGAGGTGCCGTGTATACATTGGCGTTCACATTAAAGATCCCATAGCGCCGCTGCCCGGGCAAAATATCTCTCATAGCACACTGGATGGCGTACGCCCGTCTTCATTAGCCTAGTTGGAGCAGAACAGTACGACGTTAAATCCCATTTCATTTCATTTCATTGGTTGCTAATTTCATTATTATTTTATAAATTTTATTTTCTATTTGCTTTTATGGCCGCCATTAGTCACGTTAGTTCTATGTTTATTATATTAAAGAGAGAGAGAGAGAGAGAAATGGGGTTTAAAGCCCACTCGACACAAACTAGGTCATTTCGGAACTAACATATGGTTTAATTTTATTTCAATAATTCGCTTGCGCGTAGGGGTCTTTAGCAATGGGAGGAAACCGGAGAGAGAGAGAGAGAGAGAGAGAGAGAGAAATGGGGTTTAACGTCCACTCGACACAAACTAGGTCATGTCGGGACTAACATATGGTTTAATTTTAGTTCAATAATTCGCTTGCGCGTAGGGGTCTTTAGCAGTGGGAGGAAACCGGAGGACCCGGAGAAACCCACGAGGTTGGACAGGCGACCCTACTCCTTGTCACGTACAACCGGGGATTCGAAACCACGCCAGTTGACTCAATGACAGGCCTTATGATACAGCGCGCACATGCTAACCATTCAGCCATCCGCCTCCCCCCCCCCCCTTATTATATTAAAAACCTATGTTACATTTCCCATTTTGGTAAACATATCTTTGACAACATTAATGTATTTTAAATATATTTTAATTTACCTAATTATTTCTCCTGTAAGATACGCGTTGAATTAAACAGACACTGGCATGGGTGACATATTGTCCTTATAAAACGTCTAGAGGCTATTACGTCAGATATAATTTACATGAAGCATTGAAGTCTAATAATGGAGGGATTAAGTAAATTACTGGTGATTGACCAAACGCTCTACAATACGAACTATTGTTTTAGATTTCAACTTAGAAGCAATATTTTATAGTTTAATTGTCAATGTGTCATAATTGTCTATTATATATTTTATTCAATTGTATTTCAAAGACAGAGTGAGCTATGATTTAGAAGGATCGGATCTCTCTCTTTCTTGTAAATATTTGTTGATTTATCTATGTTTAATAAATCACATAGAAGTTACTTGGACTTAGTCTTAATTTTATAAGATCAGAAATAACGTGGTCACAATATTCACCTTTTTCTATTTTGTTGCACCTACAATCTTTCTGCAAACTCCAACTTCCAGGGGATGTTTTACGTGCATTGTCAAATCGCACCCCCAAACCAGATAAATACGCATTGATCAGTAAAATACTGAGATTTCTTCAAAATACACAGGAGGCAATTCGATTAAATACAACAAATATTTGTACCGAGCGACGTTAACGATTGGAGTCGCATAGTTCAATCGTCTCCCAAAAAATAATAGAGGGGGGGGGGGTCTAATGGTTTAACGCGTGCGCATGACGTAGTTTCGATTCCCCGCTTGAACGTGACAAGGAGTAGCGTCGTCTGTCTAGCCTCATGGGTTTTCTCCGGGTTCTTCGGGTTCCTCCCACTGCTTAAGACTCCTACACACAAGCTAGATATTGAAAAAAATATAATATGTTAGTCCCGAAATAACCTACTTTGTGTCGGGTGACGTTAAACTCTCCCTCTCCCTCACAATGCTTAAGACCTCTAAGCGCAAACAAATTATTGAAATAAGATGGAATCATATGTTACCTCCCCCACCCCTCCCTCTCTCTCTCTCTCTCTCTCTCTCTCTCTCTCGAAGTATGTCCAGTGGATTTCCAATCCAATATGCTATATTTTCCATAAGACCTCTCCCAATATACACAGTTACAGCTTATTACTGAGTAACGTTTAGCAAAGAATCCCAGTCGAGTCGTCGTTCCCCAACAAACAATGATTATGATCTATGTAATTACTTAAAGGACAATATTGGTGCCAGTCATTATCACATATGTGATAGAACTAATTCAACACGTTCTAAATATAATTTTAACTCAGAGATCATTGCTACGATAGCTGAGTAATACAGGATTCGCGAATCGGAAGTGACGAACGCCAAAGGAAAACACGAGACATACCTCTATATAACTGGCTGAAGTGCCGACTGATAACAGATACATGGGCGAATTTCTGCTCACTAATAATTCCTTCGAAGACTAAAAGTTGTTGTGTGAGACTGTGAGAGGATATCTAACCATTTATAAAAAGAATTGACTGCCAGTGGATAAGAGAACACGAAAGAAAAACAGAAAAAAAGTCCGTGCATTACCATGTTTTTATAAGATAGGGGAAAGCGGGGTTAGTCGGACCCCATTCATATCTCGCGCCCACTCGGCCAAACCTCAGCAGATTCCAGTACCCTACATCTAGCCCCGGCTGTATGACGAAGTCCGCCATTGGGACTACTTTCAAGTTCCGGATTACCAACGCCGTTGCCCATGACGACGCATTTAAAGAATGTTTTACCATACAAAGATTTCAAAGTCTGAAGCTGTTTTTCTTTCAAGTTTATCATATTTCCTTTAGACGCGGACCAGTTTGAACTGAAAAGTCTACATACGCTTCGAACGACGCAGTTTTGAGAACTTCTTTCTAAAAGCGGCAAGTTTTCCTAATAATACCCCCGTCAGACCGGGGTAGCGTCCTTACTTTGCTGCTACGGCGATGGAAAATAGTTTTAGAGCGCGTTAAGATCGCCATAAGCGTAGTGGAAACGCCAGCTATCGTGCTGTAGTCACCATGGTCGCCAATGATCGCCGAGTCACCGCGTTTATTTTGAGCATGTTCAAAGCAAGCGCCAAGGTTCTGCGATCTAAACTGTAAAACTATGAGAATACGACTTTTTTTTCAAGTTTGTAGTTTTTGGGGACATTTTCGCGCGTTGTACGGTCGCAGAGGCGCAGTAAGGACGCCACCCCGGTCTGACGGGGGCATAAGTAAACCGGTGCCGCATCGCAATTGTATAGGCGTAGGTACATATCACTTACTGTCATACAGCCGAGGCTTGATGTTCGCCCATTCGGACATGGTGACTTTGAGATGAAATTACTTGTATACGCCTGTCAATAAAACTATTTAATGTATGCCGTAAATTAGCCAACTCCACTGTCTTTAATCTAGTATGGTCTGCGGCAGTGGTTCTCAACTATTTGTGCCAACGGCACACCTTGAAACACATGAAAAAACAGCGACACACCCGACTTAATATATATGAATAATATTTGATTTTTTTGCAAAATAAAAAACATGGCAAATCATAGACGGTATACAACTGTAGCCACAGACTAGTCATAGACACATAGTATGGCTTAAACTAAACGGCACACATAGGAAGATCTCAGGGCACACCTGTGTGCCGCGAAACACTGGTTGGGAATCACTGGTCTACGGTAACGTAGCTTCAAAAGTTATCGAGATATGTTGGTTTCTTTAAAAATGGTGCGAACTAGCCCCGCTCTCCCCTATAGAATGAATATAAACAAGGGAATGTACGGACTATTTCTATTTTTCTCGTGTTCTCTTATCTAATGACATTCAATTACTGTATTGAATTGTCAATACAATTCTTAAACCTAACCTACAATCTCGCCAACAATCTTGCCAGCGTCTTACCCACTTAGCCACCGTGACTCCCCCATGTTATATCAACCCATGTTAGATTTACCCATGTTAAATTTACCCAAATTAGATTTAAACATGTTAGCTTTACCCATGTTAGATGAACCCATGTTAGATGGTCATGTAAGATTTACCCATGTTTGATTTGCCCACGTTAGCTTAACCCATGCTAGATTTGCCCATGTTAGCTTAACTTATAAAACAGATTTATGAACGTCCGTCTCAGGAAATAAATCAAAACTTTGTTGATATTATATTATAAATAGTCTGTTTAAAAGTGATTGTGAAATGTTTATTGTTCTCGTGCCTTCCATGATTGACGGTAAATAAATATATAATGATTCACACGTGTAGATAGATGATTGACATTGATATATTGAATGATCAAAAAACTTCAACGTGGTTAGTGCTAAATGATAAGGTTAGCTCAGTTTTTAGTCATAGGTCACGTGATGTAAACAGGGCTAGCGCTAATCCTGGCACCTAGTCCTAATGCTTAGCCTAACCCTAACCTACAATCTCGCCAACAATCACGTGCCCTAACCTTATTTACACTTCAGCGATCTTGACGAAATTAATTGAGCTGGCCTTGACAAATAGATGATGGATATTGATGTCTTGAATGGTCAAAAAGGTTCAACGTCCAATAAATATTCCAACAAGAGACCCAATGATCTTAATCACACATGGGTCAAAGGGTACAGAATTATCATTTTCAAGATGGCAGCCAACCTCGTGGGTTTTCTCCGGGTCCTCCGGTCTCCTCCCACTGCTAAAGACCCCTATGCGCAGCGAATTATTGAAATAAAATTTTAAAAAACATATGTTAGTCCCGAAATGACCTAGTTTGTGTCGAGTGGACGTTAAACCCCATTTTTCTCTCTCTCTCTCTCTCTCTCTCTCTCTCTCCCTCTCTCTCTCTTTCAAGATGGCAGAGATAGAGATACACGGTCAGGTCTAAATATTAAGGCCATCTGCAGATTTCGTCATGGTCACAAGATGTAAACAGGGCCAGGGCACGTGATTGTTGCCGACGATTGTTGGTTAAGGTTACGGTAATGGTTAGAGCTAACCTTGTTTATATTTCGTGACCTTGGCCCTTATTCACGAAAACTCTCTCTCTCTCTCTCCTTTATTCGTTTGTTGAATATTTCAGGATTAGGACCAATGCCAATGACTTTTAATTCTGAGATTTATCCCCTATGGGCGAGAAGTACTGGGTTTTCTGTCGCCACAGCTGTTAATTGGTCCTTTAACCTGTTGGTGTCCTTCACATTCCTTTCATTGATGCAGCTTATTACCAAATATGGTAAGTAACAAATGGTAATTTAATCAGAGCCATCTAAAGATAGAGCCGGGAAATCTGTTTACTC